CTCTCTCTCTCTCTCTCTCTCTTGCTCGCTCGTTCACGAAACTCGGCATACGCAGCTCCTGTGTAGGGTTCAGCCCACGATACTCTTGAGTGAGATCCGAAAGAATCATTGGCAATCAGGTGGGGGGGAGGGAGAGAGAGAAATGGGGGGAAAGAGGGAGGAAGGGGGGGAGGGGAGCGAATGTGGACATGGTCGAAGGGGATATTGAAGAGGATGTCGAGGGATGGAAGAGGACCCCGGGGGGTGGAGAGAGCGGCGCAATGGATAGAGATTGGGGCGGGCTAGGCGGGGGGGGGGGGGGGGGGTTCGATCTGAACATGGGGTTCCACCTCTGCGGGCGTAGCCGCACTGGCTTTACTTCATTTGTTTTTAAATTTTATAAATGGTTTTAGAAGTTTCGTGTGAATCTCAGGGGTCTAGATGAAGAATTTCTCTCTCTCTCTCTCTCTCTCTCTCTCTCTGTGACATTCAGATTTGTCTATATATATAATGACATATATTCATACAGCCCCTCGTTTGTTGTCGTCTTCTTCTCCCTCTCTGCCTACGATTCACCGGGCAATCCTCCATGTCGAGATACATCCACGTGGGCGGCCTTGTACGCAAGAGGTTTTGAACAGGGGGAGTCTTGTAAGGAAGAAGATAAAAAATGAAATGATTTTTTTCCTGTTTTTTTTCGCTTTTGCGCTCTGACATCTTTGTGACGATATATATATAACAGAGCTGCCCGGTGAAACCGTTGGCAGAGAGGAGGAGAAGAGGAGAGAAGAGGACAACAAACGAGGGGGGGCTGTGACAAACTGTTTCGTCGGAGTTTCACCTACGTACTCATCAATGAGTAGAGGCTGAATATGTATATATGTATATATGTATATATATATATGTATACATAAACTCTGACGAAACAGTTTGTCACAGCCCCTCCCTCGTTTGTTGTCCTCCTCTCTCCTCTTCTCCTCCTCTCTGCCAACGGTTTCACCGGGCAGTTCTGTTTGTGACGATATATATATATATATGTGTATATATGTACATATCATCACATGAATATGAGAGCGCAAAAGCGAAAAAAAGAAAAAAGAAAAAAGAATGAATTCGTTTTTTTTTATCTTCTTTCTTACAACTCCCCCTGTTCAGAACCTCTTTTGCGTACAAGGCCGCCCACGTGGATGTAGGTAGAGCGGCGGCTGCCCCCACCCCCGTGTGTCATATCGACAGCCAAAAGGCGAAGAGGCAAAGAAAAGAGGAAGGGAACAGCCAAATAAAACAGAACAGGGGGCAACAAAACAGAGATGTCAAAACATTCTTG